TAAGATTATTATTACATGAATCTGACGGGATTCCATTAAGAGTTCAATAATCCAGTTAAAATTAGTTTTCTTTGTCTTGGACGAATAACAAATGGAGAAATTTTTGACACTTTTAAACTAATAAAAACAACAAAAGCATCATCTCAAAATTATCAAAAACCATGCACCACTTCTATCCAATTATGTTTTCCAGTCGACTTTACAAGGAAATAACATATGCTTTCTTAAATCATCATTTGAAATAAATGTTCATCCATCAACTTCATGCAAAGTAACATGCGGAGAAACCCATGTGTAACACTTTATTTGTGTAAAATGCATCCTTGAAGGGTACAAAATCTAATGTTTGAGTTAACTTCTATAGCCTCAGCAGTCCATGTTACAGAAAACACCATATTGTATTTGAAATTGGACTGTTGAAATAACATTATACATATACATGCACTATACAGCACAATCAAACTTCTATTTTAAGTTTGTCAAGGTCAGTCAGTGCATGTGTCAACAAATTTTATTGATATAAAAGGAGCCAGCATTTTTTTTGATATCCTTCTCATTTTGCACTTTTTGCTTACGTATTTCGATGAAGAAGTTTTATCTCCATTCTTGGCATGTCTAAGGAAATAGACCTGATTATTAAGTACGAACTGGAAACTACATTTCAGATGCATCCGTAAATATTCCGTAGAAAGAATTGTCTCATTAACTGCAATGAATTGTAGAACTGAATAATGATATAACTTACCCCATAATCTGACCACGCAACTTCCTGTGACCATTTCTTTGTCAAAGTCTCGCTAGATGGTTCACCTCTAGCAGAAGGATGTTGCTGTAAGAAAAATAAATGTTAATCAACAGCAAAATATTTCAGTAACTAGGTCAAAACCAACATGCACTTGACCGCGTAAATATTTCCTTTTTTATTTTTTATTTTTTTGCTAAATTCAACAAGATCGCCTAAGCTTATAAATCTAGTCAAGCGTTATTTGCTAATACCACAACATATATTATGAAAACATTAGCCAACATTTAAGTTTGTTATTTCTACAATGGAAGTGACAAACAGAGTATCACTCCTAGAGGTAAGTAAATAACAAAGGAGATCAAATTCTTCTTCTTTTTATATCATTTTGTTTACAATATTTGACAGAACAATGACGAGGATGATTCGTGATTGTGATAAAGAAACTGAAAAAATCTATGTAATGTTGATGCCTTCACAGAATGCCAAAATAGCAAAAAAGATAAATGAAATTCACATCCAACTGCATACAGAAACCATTTTTCTCAAATTTTTAATCAGGTAGTATTCCCAAAAGAATGTTTTATCACAGACGTGCAAAGATCAACTAACCGGAAAAGGGCATGGTACAAGAGTGCCAAAAAGATCTCCAGTAAGATCAGAAGCTCTGATGGAGTAAAGTGCATTCCTAATCCCACATGAGAGAAGATATTTCTCTGTGTCCTTGGGCATGGAACAACCTTTGTATACACTGACAGGAGGATCACATATCTACGAGGAAAGGAACAGGCCAAATTAATTTATTAATCCACTGTATTTGTATAAATTCTTAGGGAAAAAAATTGGTATTTAAGAGAAGGAAAAAGAAAACGAGAAACACATATCAAAGTAGCAGCATGTACTCCATTTAAGATCTCCAGCTCCCAATAGACAAATCATGACAAGAAAGTAGCCAAAAAAATGAAAATGCTAACAAATATTTGAAATGATACACATTGTTAATTAGGTCACTGAACAATATTCCCAAGCGACCCGAAACCTCAAAATGAAATGAGAAGCAAAGGAGTCAAATGGTTGAGGTATTGGAGGAGGAAGTATTCTCTACACTGTAAGAGTTCCATTATGGACTAGGCTATAATATATAAATAAAATTAATCAATCACTCATCAAATGAAAATAAATAAATCAAATTGGACAAAAATTGAAGCATAGCTAAGCATTGTTTCCACTCGAAAATGTTATGTCACAGGAATTTCATGCACATAAAAGATTATTTACATATTATGTGAAGGTTGAAGAAAGTTTCTAGTAGACAAAATAATCTTGAAGACTTTAAGGGCCTGTTTGGTATGGATTTTGATTTTCTACAGTAAATCAATTCTCATTTTCAACCACACATTCTTCAATAAAATAATATAATCCATCACATCAATAATTTTTTCTTCTTTTTCAACCACGCATTT